GATTCCATCTCAACTTCTGCTCTTTTGGCAGCGAGTTGTTCAGCTAACTCCTTTCTTTTGGAAGACGTACTTGAGAACTCTGTTATGTGGCTGGCACTTCTGCTAGTGATGGAAGTCACACTTGAGATTGTGGTTCCTCCTAAGGACCTAGCATAGTCTTTCATGAAGAGCTCATTCATTCCCTTTCGTGCCTTGACTTCATCATAATTTGCTGCAGATGATAGTTCTCTCATAAGCTTCACTAAATCCCTAGTGACTGCGGTACATGTATCCATGTTCCTTACAATATCCTGGGAGGGTGTCAAGGAGGACCGCAAGTTGACATATGCTGTCATAAGCTCTGACTCAGAATCTTCTACCGGCTCTATCATTTCACTCAAATTCTCCTTTATGCTATCTTATTTTAGCTTTCTGCGAATGTCTATGGTGTATACTTTCCACCTCTCATACATTCGGGTGAACTTTTTTCTTTCAGTGCTGCCTCTTGCTCCAAATTTTCTAGCACCTTTTGGGTCGGTTTTCTGTCCCATGATGAACGTCTTAGTTCACCTGTTTGAGCTATATTTGTTTGGGGCAAGACTACCGTTACATTGCACCTTTCAGATTCAGACGGGTTCTCTTGCTCTTCACCTTCTACCATATCTATCATTGCATCTGCTAACAGTGGGGTGGCAATGCTAGGCTCAGCCATTTCTGAATGCTATAACAATTAATATGAATAATAAGGCCGCAGCCTTGGCAGAGGTAACAGTTCTATAGAGCCCAAATTCCATATGACACCTATGTTTTACCTCCCTCCAGGACTGATTGGAGAAGGCCTTCAAGGTATCAAAAAATTGCCGATATTTTTCTTCAAACACCCATGGCAATAATCCAATTTTGGTGCGGTCATCCTTAATGCCGAGAATTTCTAAGGTTTGTTCATATGTTTCCATATGTTTGGTAATTGCTAGGGACCCTTTCTTGGTGAAAATAGGAACGGTGTCTTTCATAAACGTAATGACCTTTTGGGTGTCATATCTTTTGAATGACCCCGGGACTTCCCTTCCTGCCTAATATGAAGTTTCATATTCTTCCTCTGCAAGCTCTTGGGTATATCTTGGGAGCCTAGGGGGTTACCTATAGTCTGTCTCTGCCTCACTATCAGGTGCTTCACTGTGATACGGGTATTCCAGTTCATCAGCCTCCTGCTTAACTGGGTTGGTCCGGTTCTGGACTCCAGCATTTATTTGGGCAGTTAACCTCACAATCTGCTCCTCTAGTGCTTTTTGCTCAGACCTTACAAAAGCAAGTTCTGATTGATCATTCTTATCTCCTGGATGAACTTTAATTTCAACAGGGGATATTCTTCCTGATCTAAAGAATTCTACTTCTTGTTTTACGTCTTGATATTTCTTTTTAAATTGTTTTAGTTCCTCAAAACTTTCCTCATATAAACCTTGAGCATATTGAATTTCTTTGACTAAGCTAGCTTGATGTTCCTTGGATTCGTCTAGATGAAACACATGTACGGTCAAGCTTCTCCCTCAATGACTCAATTTCCTGATCTCTATCTTTCAAAAGGTGGCAGGCTTCTGACAAGTCCTTCCTTAAAGCTGGCATTTGCTGGGCAGCTTCACTGCTCATAAACCATAACATGGGCCATGCTTCTAGGAGAAGTCTGTCATGGCTTTTATTATTTTCTGCTTCAGAAAATGCTAATAAAAACCTGACAACCTGACCCTTCTGGTTAAACAGGTCCTCATATGTGCTTTGAGCCTGCTTCTTCTTTTCTTCCACTAATTCCTCAGTGCTATCCCCTAAATCTAATCTCTGACGGAGATAATCTATTAACACACATTCTGTATACCTTTGCCAAGCATCGCGGGCTTTTCTAGCTCTCTTTGGAGTTAAGTCCTCAACATTCTGAATGGCTCCCTTTTCCTTGCTATGCTTGGAAGAGGTGGATCCGTGGTTAGTGGATGCCATTTTTATCCAAAATATATTTTTTGACAATGTGTATAAATATACAATCACCAGTGCATTTTGTTTTAAGGTATGATTTCTTTGGATCTCAGCAGTGCCTCCAAATTTATCCTGTGGTGGTTTATGTAAGAATTTATTCTAAATACTTAGGGCGGTGTCCTCTCCCTTAAACAAAATATTGCAGTGCCTCCAGCCGTTAAAATACGGCAAATAATTAAGAAACCAATACTTTGGACACCTTAATAATTTGATCACCACTTAATAATATACCTTGAGTTCTTTCACCAATATGATTTCGTACTATATACACAAAATTTGCCTTTTTGATAAATAATTTATTTATGTACAAAATTTATATATATATTAATACAAACGCAAAATACTGGTGATGAATATATATTCGTACATACAATCAAAGATATAATATGTTAATATCTATATGGGTTCATACAATATATGATTTTCATATAAAAGAAAACAAAATTTTGGGACGTTAGTAGCAACCTATAGTGCTTCAGATATTATTTCTAATTTCTCGTAGCCATAGGGAAATAAGAAAATATCTCTGATAATTAGCACCACACAACACTACAAATAAGTTAATATGCTGTATATAACCTCAATAGCAATATTCAAACAGTTATAGTTAATAATAATTCAGAGGACCATAATACATTCCTAACCACACAATAAAATGTTATAAATCGTAGAAAGCTTGAAATGTCAAAGAAAATTACAATATTCTAGCACAGTCTCACCACTCCCAGAATCTTGAGATTTGAGGCCTCCCCAGTGGGATGCAGTTGGGAAAAGAATTATTTCTGGGCAGGCAGGCACCAGAATTTAAATGAGCATCAGCGTCTCTGGCGAAAATCTTTTCCTTCAAAATGGCAGCTGGAAGTTCTCAGCAAAATGGCCGCAGGTGGCAGGTGAGTATAGTGCAGTATATAGTGGTAGTAGAATAGTAAAGAAGTAGTTTCAGAAGATTGTAAGATTGTAGAAGATTCAAGTTGTTAGAAGATTTCAGAAGAATCGATTGGTAGGAGACTGTAGAAAAATGGATTGTTAAGTTGATTCCACTTTGTGGTGTCTGGCCTTTTAAACCATACAAGTCCTTTGTTCCGAGGGACCGCCCAACAGTCTTGTTGATTGGACAGTTGAGAAGTTTGCGCACCCAAAGATGTTCCTAACCTGTCCACTGGGGACAGTCAAGTATTACAAATGAATTGTTGGTCTTAATAATGATTCACTATAAGCAGTATATCTTTATGGATCAATATATGTCCTATTCAAGTATAGATGATTTCACTACTAAGCCTTGGATAAGGACCATAGAAAGATGTGAATACATTTGGTTTCTCATTTTTCTGATATGTGAACTGTATTGGAATGGCTGATTTCCTTTGGAAATATAGAAATTACCCAACTCACAAACCATCTTATATTTTATCACTTCAAACTTCAGTTGAGTGGGATGCAGTACCCAACCTTATCGAATAGATTTTCCTTTGATGGAAAAGTGTTGGTAATATACTTTCTGATAATATTTCCATTGATATATATATACCACACTTCTTTGTATCTTAAATGACCCAACTTTCACCTTGTTTACTGCACGGTTCAAGGAAAGATTGCCTCTAGTTACTTGCACTATTATGTTATAATTAGAGTAAACAGAATGAACTGGATTTTGACCTCAGTATTCAATAGCTTATTGTGACAGCTCAAGAAGTTTTGTTTGGTAATCACACACTTCCCAAGGTTTTGTGAGAGATAAGACAATGAGGATTTCCTCTCACCATTGTCACTTTGGTCCAGGTGTATGCTCACCTGCAGACATCCAGACATCCAATAGTGGTGTATACCTGCAGACATCCAATAGTGGTGTTTGAATCTCATTGGTCCAAAAGGTGGAGTTAGCCTTTAATGGTAGGGAGCTAAAGGATACTATAGAGAAACCCAGGAACCTAAGCTATTTGTTCAGCTATATTTTGCTATGCACCAAACTCTTGGCCAATCCAAATTTGCCGAATTTCCTCAACACTACAGAGGAGAATACACTGCTCAAAAAAAATTAAAGCAACACTTTGAAAACACATCAGATCTCAATGAGGAAAATTATAATGCTGGATATCTATACTGATATAGAATGGGCAATGTGTTAGAAATGTAAGGATGCCCCATCATTTGATGTAAATGAAAATGATCAACCTACAGAGAACTGAATTCAAAGACACCCCGAAAATCAAAGTGAAATAATGATGCAGCAGGCTAGTCCATTTCACTGAATTTCATTGCAGCAACTCAAAATGGTACTCAGGAGTTTGTACAGCCCTCATGTTTTTGTATGCATGCCTGACAACATCGGGGCATGCTCCTAATTAGATGACGGATGGTGTCCTGGGGTATTTCCTCCCAGATCAGGACCAGGACATCACTGAGCCCCTGAATGGTCTGAGGTGCAACCTGGTGGCACCGGATGGACCAAAACTTGACATCCCAGGGGTGTTCTATTGGATTTAGATCAAGTGAGTGTGGGGGCCATTCAATGGTATCAATTCCTTCATCCTCCACAGAGCAGAGCCTGCATACTCTCGCCACATTACAAAATAATCTAGAGTGGGTAACTGGGGACAAAGAGAAGACAAATTTAACCCCTTCACGCCGGCGCCTCCTGGCCCTTTAAGGGTTCCAGATGCCAGGAGGTGGGGCAGGGTTTAGGGACATGTGACCACATAGCGGTCACATGATCGGTAAAGGTCCCGATCGAAAGAGGGACCTGTCCATGAGTACCGGACATATGTGCCGGGAGCATGCAGGAGAATCGGTGGTGCTCTGTGTCCCTAGGGCACAACGGATCGCTGATCAGGGGAAAGAGCCGATAACGTCAGCTCTGTCATGTGATCAGATCTGTCCAATCACAGCTGATCGCATTTAAACAAGGAAATGCTGGTTATTGGCATTCCTTTCCTCACACTTACAGTGTATGAGGAGAGGAGAGCTGGCAAGCGTCGTTCCTCAGAGGGGACATGTACACTGATCATCAGTGCCCTGATGATCAGTGTAGCCCCATCAATGCCACATATCAGTGCCCATCTGAGCTGTCTTTCAGTGCCAACTATCGGTGCCAGTTAGTGCTGCCTATCAGTGCCACCTATCAGTGCCAGTCAGTGCCACCAATCTGTGCCCGTCAGTGCCATCTAAGAGTTCCAGTCAGTGCTGTCTATCAGTGCCACCTATCAGTGCCAGTCAGTGCCACCTATCAGTGCCATATATGAGTGTTGCCTTTCAGTGCCCATCAGTCATGCTTGTTAATGCCCATCAGTGCCACCTACCAGTGCCTCCTCATCAGTGCCCATCAGCACCGCCTATCAGTACCCATCAGTGAAGCCTATCATTGCCCTTCACTGCAACCTCATTAGCGCACATCAGTAAAGGAGAAAAATTACTTATTTACAAAATTTTATAACCGAAATTAAGAAAAAACTTAAAAAAAAAAAAAAATCTTCAGTCTTTTTTAGTTTGTTTAGCAAAAAATAGAAAACGCAGTGGTGAATAAATAACACCAAAAGAAAGCTCTCTCGGTCTCAAAAATAATGATAATAATTTCTTATGAGTGCAGTGTTGCATGACCGTGCAATTGTCATTCAAAGTGCAACAGCGCTGAAAACTAAAAGTTGGCCTGGGCAGGAAGGGGGTAAAAGTGCCTGGTAGGCAAGTGGTTAAAAAAGGCCTGGATTATTTCCTATATACACAGAATATAACTGGATACTAACATTTATAGGTAAAGTTGATCCAGGGAATATCCGATTGCCTCTCGGGGGATCAGGAAGGAATTTTTACCCCTGCAGAAACAAATTGGATCATGCTTTGCTGAGCCTTCCTCTGGATCAACTGTGGGTATACAATTATAACTTTATTTATTTATTAATTTTTTTAAGGTTGAACTAGATGAACGTTTTGTCTTTTTTTAGCCAGACTAACTATGTAGTTATATGAGGCCGGGCATTATCATGCACCAGGAGGAACCCTGGACCCACGGGCCCTGATTTACTAAGAATTGAGTCTACCAGCAGACTCTGAACATTCAGGCAGACTCAATTAAATCAATTAAGACCTGTCAGTCTTTTGAGAGGCCTCTAGCAATCTCATTGAAAAGCGTCTACTTTCCTGTTAGTAAATATGAGATCACGTCTTGCACATTTTTAGGTGCAATACCGATATGTTGGCTAGGTGGCGCAAAAGCGTGGGCTTTGTCCCATTGGCGTTTTTCTGTTTGCATATGAGAATACTTAGAATGTAAAATAAAAAGTACACCTATATTATTTTTTTTTTTTGCTGTTTCTCCAAAATGATCAGACAACTAATACATTTCCTAATGAATATCATACATTCTATTTTCAAATGTTAAACATTTTCACACTTATATCTCAAATAATTTGGAATGTCTAGTTCTAAGTTTCCAATATAATGATATAGCTTCCTTCTCTTTAATCATGTAACTATTCTATGTTAAAGTCATAGTGCAGTGCTATAAATGCATGTTATCAATAATGAACGCATGTAAAATCCAAAAAGTGCAAACAATTGCAATAATGATGTAAATTGGTAAATGGTGCTAAAAAAAGTTCATATATTCATTCCTGAATAATGGAATGTCCTTCGTGTGAGAGTACCAACTCAGAGAGTGCCTATGAATGGCACGTGTGGTTTATCCGTGACTGACAGTAGTGCATGAACTCGTGAAAGGTAAACCACCCTTGGGACTGGTGTACACTCACCAGAACAAAAGTATTAATGCGCATGGGTTATACACATCACACATCTGGGGATGCAGCGATATGCTGGCAGCTATGGGTTAGTCATCCAGCTCCATCCATCCATCAGGGTGGGTGCCAAAATGGTCCTGGGGAGGAATTAGCTCAGCCACAGGAGCCAGAAAGGTGCTTAATAGTGTAGTACACCCGTCCGAAGGGTGGTTTACCTTTCACGAGTTCATGCACTACTGTTCGTCACAGATAAACCACACGTGCCATTCATAGGCACTCTCTGAGTTGGTACTCTCACATGAAGGACATTCCATTATTCAGGAATGATTATATGAACTTTTTTTAGCACCATTTACCAGTTTACATCATCATTAATGGGCGGCACAGTGGCTTAATGGTTAGCACATCTACCTTGCAGTAAATGGGTCATGGGTTCGATTCCCAACCATAGCACCTCCTGCATAGAGTTTTCATGTTCTTCCTGTACTTGCGTAGGTTTCCTCCGAGTACTCCCGTTTCCTCCCACACTCCAAAGACATGCTGGTAGGTGAATTGATTCCTGTCCAAATTGGCCCTAGTATGTGTATGCATGACTGTGAGTTAGGGACCTTAGATTTTATGCCCCTTGAGGGTTAGGGACTTATGTGAATGTACAATATATGTGTAAATTGACAGCGCTGTATAAGTACCTAAAATAAATTAAATTATTGCACTTTTTGGATTTTACATGCATTTATGATTGATAACATGCATTTATAGTGCTGCACTATTACTTTAATATATTTCTATTCTGGGACTGTTGCCAATACCCTGAGTGCTAGCTGCTACCTTCATATCTATACCTAGATTTTTATTTATCTTGTGTAATACCATTTTGGTAGCCTATATAATTTGACCAGCTCCCACTTAATCATTTTTATATTTCAATTGTTTTTATTAATTTTTTAAACAGTATAAAACAGAGGCAACAAAACACATTCACACAGGGGCTATCAATTGCACAGATAAAAAAATGCAAAAATTAAAAAAAAAAACAAAAAACAGAGCTCTAACGCCAACAGGGCAAAAGGTACGCCCACACAGGGGCTATCAATGGCACATAAGTTACAAAACATTAATGTAACTGACTATGACAACTAAAGGCAGCTGTCCAGTCACACCAAAAAACAGAGAGAGAGAGAAAGGAAGAGAAAGAAGAAAAAATAAAAAAAGCAAAGAGCAGGGGTCCAAGAGCGCCAATGCCGAACGCCATTACATCCCCAGACTAGCCGGGGGGGGGGAGTGTGGGAAAGGCATATTGCAACCACGGCTCCCATATTTTAAAAAATTTACATTGGGAGTCATTGCAGATACTCGACATCTGTTCGTTGAGCATCATAGTGGTCATACGATCCCGCACCCCCTGAAGAGGGACAAACGGACTCTTCCAGGCCTTAACAATTGTTCTAGTGGCCGATAAAAAACAAATAGGAAGCCAACTTCTGCTGGTGAGCCAAAAGGCCCGGTATGGGGCAATGAAGCAAGGCATACCGAGCATCTCAGGGTATGGAGAGATGGAACAAGGTGAAAAGGAGGCCAAACACACGAGATCAAAACCGAAACAGTCTCTGGCATGACCACCAGATATGCAATACATCTCCACGATGGCCACAACCCCGAAAACATCGATCACTACAGGCAGGGTTAGCCTGGGCCAACCGAGCTGGAACCCAATACCAACGAAACAATACCTTATAGGCTGCCTCCGGCGTGGTCATATTAAATGAGCATTTAGCTATGAGTGACCAGGCCTTATTCCAGTCCTCCGGATCCACAGCCATTCCCAGGTCACGCTCCACTGAACAACATATGAAAGAGAAGTATGCGACGAGCGTCTGTTCAGAGCTGCATAAAGAAGGGATATAAGGCCCGGGGCACCGGACACTGCTGGCAAAGGTGTTCAAAGGCAGATTTATGGTACGGGAAAGCAGAAGTGCCCCACAGCGAGAGCAGCCAGTGCTGCAATTGAAGGTATCGAAAGATTTCCGCCGGGGGGACATCCCGGGATTCCCGAAGAGAATTCCAGGTGGGGAAGGACCGAAAAATCAAAAAGTGTCGCACCTGCGAAAAAACTATTAGTCACCCACTAAGAAAACACCCTTGGGTGATCTAAACCCGGTGGGAAAAGAGGGTTGTTAATAATTGGGAGCAAAGGCAGAAAAGGTGACATCAGGCCACTGGAGTAACGTACCGAGTCCCAGACTTGTAAGCCATGAAGCAACATCGGACTCAGTGCCATGGGGTGCAGGGCAGGGAGAAGCCATAGAAGCGTTGACATTGCAATAGGGGCACAATTAGGTAGTTCCAACAGGACCCAGAGGGAAATGTCAGAAGAGGCGTGCAACATAACAGCGGGCGGGCAATCTGGCTCACCTGATAATACTTAGTCACATTAGGCACCCCAAGACCACCTGGAGTCTATGAGCAAAGAGCGTATTTCTGGATACTCTGGGGTGCTTATCGGCCCAGATAAAATGCATAAACTTCGCCTGAAGCAACCGAAGAAAATGAGGGGGAACCCGCACTGGGAGTGTGCAAAAATAATACAATTTCGGCAAGATGGTCATTTTCACCAAATTAACCCGTCCTATCCAAGACAGGTGCGGAAATTGCCAAGAATGCATAAGAGAAGATAGAGAGCTAAGCAATGGATAATAATTTGCAGCAAGCAGGGAGTCATAGGTGGGGGTCAAGCAAATACCTAAGTATTCAAGAGAAAGAGGAAGCCCATTTGTAAGGGAAGTGGGATCATAGGCGTGAAACCAAATCTGAAGCCAAAGTAATATTGAGAGCGACAGTCTTATCCAAGTTAATACAGAGACCCAAAATCAAGGAGAAGCGTTCAAGAACCTGTTGCAAATTAGGAAGTGTCATCAGAGGGTTAGTAAGAGTCAGGAGGGCATCGTCTGCAAAAAGGTTCAGCTTGAACTCCTGTCCCGCGTAAGGAACCCCCGATACATTGCAAAAGGTCCGGAGCGCTAAAGCCAGCGGCTCAAGCGCCAGGACAAAGAGCGCCAGGGACAGGGGGCAACCCTGTCTCGTCCCTCGCCCAATAGGAAAGGGATCTGAAAAATACCCAGCATATTTAACAGAGGCCGAAGGAGAAGAATACAAGGCTTGAATCCAAAAAAGAATAGAATCCCCAAATCCCCAACGAGACAGCACAAACCGCAGATATTCCCAGGATAGAGAATCAAAGGCTTTATATATGTCTAAAGACAGTAAGAATCCCGGGATTTTCCACTGTTGCAGAAAATGTATAAGATGGACCACCTTACGAACAATATCACCCGCCTGCCTCCCAGGGACGAACCCTACCTGGTCCCTGTGGACCAGGCTACGCAAATATTTATTGATGCGAAAACTAAGGATCTTGCCCAATATCTTCAGGTCTTCATTAAGAAGAGAAATGGGCCGGAAGGCTTGCGGTTCCTGTACATCATCAGTTGTCTTAGGAATCATGGCGATATGCGCTCTAAGCGCGTCTGGAGAGGGCAAGGAGCCCTGTCGTAACTCATTAAAATAGTCAGCAAAAAAGGGTGCCAACAGGGCTGAGAATATCTTATAATAGAGACCGGAGAAGCGATAGGGACCTGAGGCCACGGTGGACCGTAGAGATTTGATAGC